CACTAACTTAAATTTTTAAAAATCATAGCTTTGGGCTTCCCTGGTGGCACAGTGGTTGAGAGTCCGCCTGCCGATGCAGGGGACACGGGTTCGTGCCCCGGTCCGGGAGGCTCCCCCATGCCGCGGAGCGGCTGGGTCCGCGAGCCATGGCCGCTGAGCCTGTGCGTCCGGAGCCTGTGCTCCGCAGCGGGGGAGGCCACAGCAGTGAGAGGCCCGCGTACCGCAAAAAAAAAAATCATAGCTTTACACATGTTTTGAAGCACAACTGACTTACAATTTTATATTCGCTTCAGATGTACAACACAGTGATTCTATATTTTTATACATTACAAAGTGATGGCCACGACAAGCCTAGTTACCATCTATCACCATACAGAGTTTACACATTAAAATTTTTATTGTAATGAAGGTGTACTTGTCATGGTAGGAGGAATGAATATATTTTATTTAATGGTTTTTAAATGTAACTTAAATATTTAGAAGTATGGTACATCGGCCTGAAAGAAAAGGTGGTTTTATAATATCTATCGATGAGGCGCCGGTGGGGAGATGAGGAAGGGCTGGTGGAGAAGGTGACCTCTGACCTGAGCGTCCGGTGGTGAGGACGTAGCTGCAGGGAGAGCCCTGGGCAGGGTGCAGCCCAGGCAAAGCTTCCCACGCACAGGACGGCAGATACGGTGCTGCCGTCCAGCCGCTGTCCCGGCCAAATTGGGCTTCTGGACTAGCAACGCTACGGCCCACGAATGTGCTGTCTGGCTGCTGTGATAAAAAGACCATGGACTAGGTGGTTTAAACAGGAAACATTTATTTCTAACAGTTCTGGAGGCGGGAAGTCTGAGAGCCAGTTGCCAGCAGATTCGGTGTCTGGTGAGGGCCCATCTTCTCCCTGTGTCCCCACATGGCAGAAGGGAGGAAAGAGCTCTCTGGGGTCTCTTTTATAAGGGCACCAATCACCTCCCCCAAAGGCCCCACCTCCTCATACCATTACATCGGGAGCTAGGATTTCAACATCTAAGTTTGGGGAGGGAGGGACACAAACATTGAGTCCATAGCACTTTCCTTCACCATTTCTCAAGAAAGTATATGTTGAGGTCTTTTTTTGAGCAATTACTTGACATTTAGCTTCTCTGATATTATTTCTTTAAAAATCTCATTCTCTTGTGTTCTTCATTATTTAATTTCTGTTGTTTCATTTTAGTTGCCTTAAATATCTTGCTACCCTTTCACTATAGTGATATAGTTAACTCTCAGTTGATTTATGTGAGTATAAAGGACCACAGACCCAGATAACTCAAAACTAATTTGTTTGACTTTGGATTTTAAGGCGATTTAGCACCAGATTTGTGTTCCCACTCAGGTTTTATTTAAGCTGCTATTACGATCAGTGTACGTTGTACAAGCATGTACCAGCTGGCTAATGGGATGAACAGGCAGGCCTGAAGAAGCTGAGCTAGGATGGAAAATTGGCTGTGGATAATACACACATGGATCATTGAAAATCGATTGTAGCTTGTTCCTGTGCCCAGGAAACTGTCTGGCTTAATGACCTGGCTTTCTGGGACTTCTTGTTTGCACCGGACTGTCTATTCTAATACAATGGATTTGTTTTACAAAGAAACCTTTAAGATGCTTAAAGAATCTAAGCATAAAAATTATGGTACTTAAATTTGTGTCTGCAATTTAATTGTTCAAGTCCTTGTTGTACTTAGTTCTTATATATTCTCCTACTGTTTGCTTTTCCTGTATTTTAATTGCAGTTTACACTTCTGTTTCGCAATCTCATTAAAAACTATCTTGTTTCATGATGCCGATGTTTCATAATCTTTGATAATTTAAGTATCTAGCCTCTGTGATAATGTGTGGTAGAAACTGACTTTGTTATTTCCTTACCCGAGAATTCATTAGCGAGAGTTCCCGAAAAAACAACAGAGGCTACAGGAGTGAGGAAAACTACCTGACTTTCTAAATTTTTTTTCCTGTTGATTTTGAAGGTGATGTTGTTATTTCAAGGACAAAACACATGATTGCTACAAGTTGCTTTCCTGTTTGGAAGGAAAGCCCTGCAGAAGGAGCTCGTGCAGAGTGTGGGTGGGACACGGCGAATGCCCCACATTCTTAGGACAAAGTCTGAGCAGCCCTCCGTTCCTCTGCCTCTGCCGTTCTCTGAATGAGTGCGGAAGCAGTGGCAGCTCTGTCAGGGCTTTTTTTTTTTTTCCCCCTTTTGCATTTACTTTATTTTTTGCCTTTTAATGATAATGAGAAAAGGGCTCCTCCAGGACTTGTCGTGCAAATGTTTGTGGAGGAGACGGGAGGTATGATAGGAAGATGGAGGGCAGGTACCCTTAAACCCACAGGTCCTTTTGTTTTGTTTTGGTCCTCCCCACCGCTCTCAGTGTCCCTGGTACCTCCTTATCTGAACACTGGTCGTGATGACTATGTTGTCATGTTCAGATGGGACAGTGCTGCTTTGTAAACCGTAAAGCTCGTGACAACATGAGTTGTCCAAACAGTAACAAACGCTTCAGTTGCAGGCAGTCTGCTGGGCCTGGGTTCTGCCCTGTCTGCTCCCAACCTGTCACCGTCTTTCCTCACTGGTGAACTGGTTCACCCCAGGCAGTCTTTCTCATACTTACACCTTCTTTTCTCTTGGGCTGTCGTCGTAAGTCAGAAGGTATCCTTAATCACGGCACAGAAAGTTAAGCACAGCACTGGAGACAGTTTTCGGTGAAATCACAACTACAGAAGAATCCACGTCCAACTTCAAACTCTGGAAGGTGCCTAGGCTAGGCCTGCAGGATCTCGGCACGGTTCCTGACCGAGTATTGCTTCCTTCAGATGTACAGCATCCCAATTGTATCGTGACACAAACTGGCTTTCGTAGGCATGTCCAGAAAGCTGGGCAAACGTTTTAACAGTTTTTATGGGAAAATGCATTCTACTTCATCTGTAACTGATACATAGTTTGTTCATAATTGGGGAACTGCCCAAGCAAGTTCTTTCACTGATGATTTTTAACTGTGTCTGTTGTCAGGAGAGAGGACATATGGGTGGATCCAGGATGATTGATTTTCTGGTTGTTTTTTTTGTTTTTTTGAAAGCTACCACTCTAATTGATGGGAAGGCGGGGGTGTATTGGACATATTTTCACCCTTTGATTTTTTTTGCTTACATCTATAAGGGTGAAGAAGGATCTCTGTTTTGGAGCCAGACAGGATAAAATTTTCCCGAAATACTCTATGAGACAAAGCCCTCAGATCACATCCGTAGGATGTATTATTATTTTAAAGAGATGGAAGAAGGCTATGTGGTGTCACATGCACTTAGTATTCCCGACACCTGATCTGATTGAGTCCAGGGGCAAGAAGCAGACAAGCTGGTCAGTGTTTCATCAGCCCATCAGTGGGCCCTCCCAGGATGGATTAGAAAGTGTCCAGCTGCTGAGTTAGCTGAAATGGCTTTTTTTTTTTAAAGATCTCACTATTAATAGGAGTTTATTAAAACTTGTGTAAATTATAGAAAAATAGCCAGATATATCTGTTGAGGATGAAGAGGGTGGTGGAATAGTGTGAAAGAATACTATTAGAAATATGGAGGTGAGTACCAGGAGAAACAGATAAGAAGGAGTTGAAATTGGTTTTTTCGGTGGGTAAGGAAGGCTGACGCAGAAGACTGCCGTATTTCATTTTAAGTCTTTAAATAATATTTTTCTCTTTAAGCTGTATGCATGCTTTGATAAAATAAAAATCAGTACAAAATAAAATATTCTTATAAACTAACAGAATGGTAATATCATTGAGGACTATCTGAATTGTACCTAGAGTAGTACTGTAAGAGTGTCATTAAATGTTTTTATATAGAATCAATAGATAATTATCCAGTTTCAAATGTTGTGATTAGAATTATAGTTCTGTCTTTGGACTATTGTTGTTTGCAACGTGATACCTCTCTTTTTCTTAACTTTATTATTGCTATATCATAGGTAATATTAAAGTCAGGGATGACCATGGTCCTATCTTACTACCCATGACACCTTGCACAGGATCTTATATGTGGTAAAGTCTCAGAGCATGGTTGATAAATATGTCTTCTAGGCTTTTAAAAAGCCTCTTTCTAAAAATTACACAAATAATACAGATTCCCTCTAGAAAAAACAGAAAATGCAGAGAAGCAAACAAAAAACTAAAAATCTGCCCAAAACTTATCGTTTTGGTAACATCCCTCCAAATGTTTCCCTGTGCAATAGGTACATGTAAATAAATTTAAAATAAAATTATCCTATACACACTCTTTTGTTCCCAGATTTATACACTTAACATGTTATGAATGTCTTGCTGTGCCAAGCATTTGTCTTCATTTTTAACGACTGCCTAATCTTCCACTGTGTGGATATGCCATGATTTATTTAAACAATCCCTTTTTAGTAACCGTTTAAGCTTTCTATTCTTTTCCTTTAGCTGTTAAGTTTTTGAATGAGTATCCTTGTACATATGGTTTTGCATACTTAGTTGAATTTTTCTTAGAATAAGGTGGAATTTTTAGGTCAACATGTATGTATTATTTTTAAGGCTCTTTATCATGTTTCCAGTTGTTCTCCAGAAATGTTATATCAGCTTTAGTCCCTGTTGGTAGAGAAAAGAATATCCATTTCTCCACTCCCTCACTAACTGATGAGCAGAAACAGATTCATCATTGTTGGGTTAATTAGTATTTCTTAGAATAATAGTGCGTTTGAACATTTTTAATATGGATATAATTCGTCATTTTGCCTTTAATTTTCTCTTCAGTGTTCTTCCCCTATATGGAAAAGGTTTCTTTTTAATTTTTATGTATTCAAAACTATCAACCATTTTAAAACATTTTTTTAAATTTCTCCCCCAATTTTGAAGTTTAATGCTTCAAAAGCTCTTTCTTTCCCAGGATCCCATACGTGGAACAAAATGATTTTCAGAATTTAGTGGGGTGACTAAAATTCTCTCAAATTTCTTCCTTTTTCCCACCAGGAAAGCAATAGAAGAACTCCTTAAAGAGGCAAAACGTGGGAAAACAAGAGCAGAAACAATGGGACCTATGGGCTGGTAAGTTCTTGAGTCATCGTCCTTAAAATTTAAACTCATGTATATATTAAAGAGAAAAGTTTTCTTTAGCATATACAGGGAATGTAGAACCGTGGACGTAGAGGAACTCACTCAGAGGCAAGTGGTAGAGCAGGGACACTGCTGAGGGCTGCAGCCACGGAAGTGGGCAGAGGGGTGAGAACAGAGAACACTTGTCATGGTGTCGTCACCCTTTGGCCCACAAGTCCCCAAGAGATATGATGACGTTGCCGTGCCTAAGGCCACCTGAGTGACAGTACTATTATGTCAGTGTTCATTGTTTGAGAACTTCTATCTTAATTATAGTCCTCAGTAAATTAAAATTTATAATTTTAAGTATTTTGATTTTGTGACAGTTCAGCTGTGTAGCACTAAAGTTTACCATTGCAGTTTCTATACAAAACAGAGCTTACTAAAACTTAATGATATGGACAAAGGAAGAATTTAACCTTAAGAATCAAGTCTACTCTTCTAAGCGTTACTTTAGCAATAGCATTCTCATCCAATAAATACGCTGGCTTAGGTCTTTTATCCACAATTTAAATTCACTATAATGGAGTATTGTGGGCCGTTAAAACGTGTAAAGTGTAAAAATGGGACAGGAGTAGAAGCTAGATCTCTGTGGATTTGACTCTTAGAACCAAGCACAGGGTTTATGTCAAATATAAAACAAGGTTCAGTCAAAGTTAAAGAAATAAGAGGGCGAAGGCAATTCCTAAAAATCAAGCAACATAAAATAAATGGACCTCAATAAGCCATTTAGTAGATGGCTCAGCCACATATGGAGGAACTGTTTCAGGTGATCTGAAATTTGACGCATTTCCAAAGGCAAAAAAGAACTAGAAAGAAATCTTAAATTGTTTCCGGTTATCACGTTGTTGGTAATGATGTTGATACTGTTTTTCTGAAAATATTGTATAGTAGGATAAAGCAAATAAGTAAATATTTATTTGTTATAGATACCAAAATTTTCAGTGTAAAAGATACAAATATAAAATCAAAGATATAAAAATCTGTACTCCTAAATCTTAATTGGAAATATCAGTATGAAGTTGTGCTAGATTTTCTCTTTAAAAGAGAGAGAGAAAAGCTTTTCCAGCTCTGTTCACAGAAAAGTCCTGGAAACAATGACCATCCACTCAGTAGCAGTGAGTATCCCTGGCACCCAGGGGTGGTGTATAAATTCTACTGTGGTATATATAATTCCATTTCTCACTGAAAGAAGACAGATCCTTAGAGAAATAACTGGCTGCTGACCCGAGGCCGTTAGCCTGGAGTTCGCCAAACTGCAAGTTAGCTGTCACAGCCTCCAGCACTGCCCTCACTTCCTATGCCAACTGCAAGTTCCAGGAGCTCCCCAAACCATCCCCAGTTTCAGTAATTTGCTAGGCCACACACAATTCACAGAGAGCTATTATACTTATGGTTACAGTTTATTACAGGGAAAGGATACAGATTAAAACCAGCCAAACTAAGGGATGCAAAGGGCATAGTCTGGAGAGGTTCCAGACACAAAGCTTCTGTTGTCCACCCCGTGGAGTCAGGACCCACACATTACCCTCCCAGCACCAACATGTGACAACGCACTTGGCATACTGACAACCAGGGAAGCGTACCTGAGCCTCGGTGTCCAAAGTTCTTTGGGGGGTTCCGTTACTTAGGTATGATTGATTGCTCACATGGTTGATATCAGTCTCCAGTTTGACCAATACCACAGTATCCCAGATTCCCACCCTCAGTCATGTGGTGTGTCTCTGGCATGGCCAGCCCTCCCTGTAAGACTATCAGTTGTGGCCAGCTCCACCCTAAACAAAGACGTTTCTATCAGGTATGACATTGCCTCCCAGAATTGATATTACCTCCCAGAAGCCAGGGCAAAGGCCAGACCTCTCTGTGGGCAAGACCACACTGTTTACTACATAGATAGGAAATGTATAAGAAGAGCCAGAAAATCTTATCAGATCAGAAAGTAAAACTGTCAGAGACTACTTGTAGTCATGTCAGAAAGACACAGGAACCAACGTGAAAGGCCTCCCACTAGTCAAAGATGGGATAATTCAGTTATCAAAGAATAAAGCAATAATGATTGAGATAACCTAAAATATGTTAAAATCCATAAGGTCATAATAAAAATCACATCAAGAAGCTTTTGGATGAGGCTAAGGAGCCAAATTATTATAAAACTGGTAAAGAGTGAGGAAGAGCCGAGCATTTATCCTGTTCCTTGTACAAGTTATACTTCAAAGTTACAAAATAATTGATGAAAGAAAACTTCCTTATAGAATTGCAACTGTTAAATGTAGGACTATAGAGTAAGATTATCATCACTTGAATAACAACTCACTTACAAGACAAACTATCTAATTTAAAAATGGACAAAAGACTTGAATGAACACTTCACCAAAAATGATATCAAATTGGCCGATAAGCATTTGAAAAGATGCTCAAATCATTAGTTATCAGGAAAATGCAAATTAAAACCACAGTTACTTATTCACTACACAGGCACTAGATTGGCCGAAATAAAAAAAAAGACTGACAGCACCAAATAAAGAGGAGGATTTGGAACAACGAGAATGCTCACATATTGTTGGTGGAAATGTAAAATCATACAGCCACTTTGAAAAACAACTGGTAGTTTCTTATACATATGCACTCACCATGCAGAATTCTTCTAACCACCTATCAGAGAGCTGACAATGTAAGCCCACACGGAAATCTGTCCAGTAGTGTCCATGGCAGTTTTATTCATGATAGCTCAAAACCGGAAACAACCCAAATGACCATCAGTTGATGAGCGGATACACAGTTGTAACATCCATACATTCCACACTCATCAATAACGAAAAGGAACAGAACTACTGATACACACTGCATGGATGAATCTCAGAAGCATTTTGCTCATGAAAGAAGCCAGACTCAAAACATTACACATTATAAGATTCCATTTATATGACATTCTAGAAAAGCCAAAACCATAGGGACAGAAAACCCATCGGTTGCCAGGCGGTAGGGGCTGAAGGACTGAATTTACTGCAGAACTTTTCTGGGTGCTGGGAATGCTCTCTATCTTGACTGTTGTGATGATGACATGACTACACACATTTGTCAAAACTCATCACACTATTTACTTAAAAGGATAAATTTTAGTTTGTATAAACTATACCTCAGTAAACCTGATTTAAAAATAAAAAGAATGTCGCTATTCTACAATCCCTAATGATACACTGGATCTAGGCAAAGATCATCAACAGTTGCTAAATCTATCAGATGAGAAGCTGATGGGGAACTTTCTGATGAGTGGCTCAGGCTGACGACACCCGGACTCATCCATCAATCTTCGTACCACAAGAAGATGCAATAGGAAGAGGGTACCGCCACTTATGAGACATCCTTGTAAAGAACTTGAACGTGAATCTGATCAAGTCTCTAGTTAGAACTACTAGTTTGCAGGAAATAGAGGTCAGAGGAACATACTAAATGATATTATAGAGATAAAATGACAAAAATGTGGGGAATTCTACAGGACAAACAAACCAGTTCCTTTAACAAATGAATTGCAAGGAGAAAAGGAGGAGGAGTATCCTATGACTTAATAGATTTGGGACACATCTACGTGTATACCTTGTTTGGATCCTTATCCAAACTAACTGAAACGAGGGTATTTGATGATATGAAGGAATTGATGTTGATTTTTTTTTTAGGTGTGATAATAGGATTGCTGTTATTATTTTTATTTATTTATTTATTTATTTTGCGGTACGCGGGCCTCTCACTGCTGTGGCCTCTCCCGTTGTGGAGCACGGGCTCCGGATGCGCAGGCTCAGCGGCCATGGTTCACGGGCCCAGCCGCTCCGCAGCATGTGGGATCTTCCTGGACTGGGGCACGAACCCGTATCCCCTGCATCGGCAGGCGGATTCTCAACCACTGCGCCACCAGGGAAGCCCTGTTAGTTTATTTTTTAAAAGCTATTATCTTTCAGAAGTTCATTCTGATGTATTCATGGATGCAGTGGTATAATAAGATGAAATGATCCAATGTGAGTCAATCTTTGTGTAACATTTGTAATCATTTTAGATTTCAGTGAAATAGCGACCTCCTAGGATATGGTAAAAATTTGGTGAGATAATGTATGTGGAAACACTCAGCATAGTTCCCGGCATGGAGCAGTCAGTTACTAAATGTTAGTTAAATCTGCTCTTAACTTCTTTTTTCGTTTGTTTGGATTTTTTATTGCCATATGAAGTGCCATCTAACTGGTCTGGACTAAAATAAATAAGTGTTCTAGATGTACCAGGCCAGGTGGAGTGAATATCAGTTTCAGTGCCAATTTCAGACAAAGGATACTCATTGAATGGTCAACGTTTTCTACCATTTCTATGAATTTTTCCTCAAATACAGTTTTTTTCACGTATAAATTTAAATGCCATATTTTTAAATATCCCACAAGATTTTTAGATATGACATTGCTATTTTTAAATTGCAGTTACAAATCTTATTTGTCAGTGACAGAATTATAATTCCTTAAAAGTTAGAAGTTGTGGGCTTCCCTGATGGCTCAGTGGTTGAGAGTCCACCTGCCGATGCAGGGGACACGGGTTCGTTCCCCGCACTGGGAAGATCCCACATGCCACAGAGCGGCTGGGCCTGTGAGCCATGGCCACTGAGCCTGCATGTCCGGAGCCTGTGCTCTGCAGCGGGAAAGGGCACGGCAGTGAGAGACCCGGCGTACCGAAAAAAAAAAAAATTAGAAGTTGTATTTACAAGAATGAGCGTATCCTTTTTTTTTTCTAGTTGGAACTAACTAAGGAGGAACATAGATTTAAATGGTTGGTTGCTCCAGTTAATCGTTGATTCATCAGATCTCCTGACTTGGTGTATATAACCACCTATGTGGTTGGCTTTTTTCTTTTTACCTTTTGACCCCTTGACTCCCCTACCCCTGCCTCTGGCGACCACCAATCTGCTCTCTGTTATCTAT